TATCATTTTACCTACTGAACTACTTGAAGGCATATAATATAAAATCTAATAAAATGAAAAATCTTTAAAAGGATAATTCTAAAAATAAAAATGAAATATTTTTAATCAAAAATTAAACTAGATTTAATTACTTACTAAAAATACTTATATTTAAATATAATCAAAAAAAAAAAGTTAAATTTAACAATACAATTTATATGAGCAATATCGAATTTTTATGAACTAGAGAATTTATTTTTTAAAGTTTATTTAAATTCTTAATAATTTGTTTGAATTATATGTTTATTTTAAATATTTGAGATATTTTGAATATTTTACTTCATTTGAATTTACTTTAATAATCGATTTTAACCTTTATTTTATTTAATTTAACTATTTTGTACATATATTTAATTCATAAGTTAACAAATCATTTTCAAAGAAAATAAGACTTGTATGATATAATAATAAAATTATATAAATCATATAATTTAATAGATAATTGTAGATTTTACTTCCATATATTTTTTTCAATTAAATTGATACTTAAGTTCGAGACCAACATTAAAGAAAAACTACAGATATGAATCCTTCCTAGTAATAATTGATAATTTAATTGGATATCGAAACTATAAATTAAAAACGACCTAGTTGTTATAGCAAATAAAATCTCTCTAAATATTAGTTTATATATTCATATTTGGATTATATAGGTTTGAATTTTAAAAAATAACCTAAATAGAAAAGCGATGACATTGATAGTATTATTGTTAATATTTCTGGATATTTAATCACTTTGACAATTAAAAATATGTAAATCATAATTTTAAATATTTAAAATGATTTGTAATTAACAGCCAAAAATTGAGATACTGAATCTTTTTAAAAGTATTTCCATATTTATTTATCCTTTATGTTAATGTTATCACAATCTAATGGGGCATAATGATTTAATAAAATTAAATAACTTGGTTCATTGTTTATATTTAATCTAGAATAAAAATAATTTATTTTATAGCAATTATTAATTTAAATTGATAAAGAATTTTTCATGAAAAGAAATTATAAACTCGAAAGGTAACTCAACAATGATGAAATTCATAAATGAAGATCATTTGATAATTGAGAGATGTATGATTAATAGTAGAAAAAGATCAAATAAATTAGCTTAATATATCATTGTTACTTTTTCAAACATTCATTCATTAATTAATGAATGATTAAATAAAACTAATATAAATCAAGGTAATAAAATCGAATATTCGGATTAAAAATATTTAATAGAAATGTGTATAATTAGGAAATAAATAATTGAAGAAAATTGAAAATTGTGAGATATTTGAGAAAAATATGGGTATTTTTTGTTAAAAAGCTAAAATTTAGTTTGAAAATTTCATGAAATGAGGTGATTAATTTGTAGACTTTAGTTATTTTTTTGTGAAATTACTAGGAAAGTATAAATATTATTTAAAATATAGATATTGGGTGTATTGAATTCGAGAAATATTATAGAGGTAATTTAGAAAGTTATATTTTTAACTTTGATTTGTTAGATTTGGAGAACAAGTGTTAAGATTAGATAAAGAATATTATAAAATCTTATTATAATTTACAATAGAGAAAGCAAACTTAGTAAAATATTCCAAGAATATCATAAAAGGATCAAACTTAAGTTTAAGAGAAAGAGATTTAGGAGAATAAAAAGCAATTAATGAAATTCTCTCTTCAATATATAAAGTATGATCCTAAGTTTTATTTTATAAAAATATAAATATGTCAGGAGAATCATTATATTCAAAAGGAGCAGGTGGAATTTGATGGTTTTGTTAAATGGAAGATCATTAAAAGATCATATTACTAATAAACACAATTTTAAATGGCATAGGCTGATTTCAATTCTACCTAAGGTTACTTTTATAGTCTATATTTGCTCTATTTTGTTTAGGATAAATGCGTTTTTCTGTTCTTTTGATGAAATTGCTCAAATTTAAATAACAATTCGAAATTTAATTTATACTGATATTAATCAAGTACGAATAAACAACTAATATATAGTTCACTAATTTCAAAATATATACCATTTGGATTAAATATAAATAATAAATGAAATTAGTAAGAATTACTGTTTGAAACTATGTATCAACATATAGCTTAATTAATCAAATTTTAAAGTAAAATAAATTAATTAAATATCCAATTTAATAATTACCAGACCTCAAAATTGTTAATTATAGTTTTGCTGCATCTCCTATAAATAATTCAAATAATAAAAATCATATCTCATCAGCAATTATTCAATGTATTTATTATAAATGAAGAAATCATGGAGTTTTTTTGTAATTGTCAATAATTAATTTTATCGTATTTATGTTTCATGTTTGGATTTGTTTTAAATTTCATTATCTTCTGAACCATCGTATTCATATGCATAAGCTCCACTATATTTTTCTAATTATTATTAAGAACAAAATTCATAAGACTTCATCATTATCAATAATAATTCTTAAAGAATTTCAAATTCTAATCAAAGTTGTACAGCATCAATTTTATTTGTACATATTATGAATATATTTATTTATGTTAAGTTGTTTTCTCACACAAAAAAGGGCATACAAAGGTAAAAGTACTTATTCGAGCTGAAAGTAAAAAACTGGGCTCAAGTAACATATCTAAACTCGTTTGGAAAATTAAATTATCATGAAGTGTATTTTTTAAGATTTTTCTGTATTCCTAAATCATGCCTTTTTTAAGTTTTATACTGATGTGGATTTATTATTTAAATTTTTATAAAAATGCTGAGTTTGGCGAATAAGACAACATCATTACTCCGCGGAGGTGGTTGTGGATCTGTTAAAATAAGTCCACACACAGATGAAAACTTAAAGTCAGATAATTAAGCCATATAGAACTTCATCAACAGATACAATTACTTTGTTGAAAAAATTTGCACAAAAGCTGCTGTGGCTGCAAATTAATCAGAATCTTAAGAAATAATGATAGCTATTTAATGGTTTATTTTTTAAGAGGAATATATCTACAAACTTATCAAAAATTGTTAAAATGTCAAGAAATCATACAATTTAATCTTAGACGGAATCCGTAAATTAATGAAAAGCTGCTTGATCTACATCAGAACAGATTACTTTAAATGCTTATATATTTTATAAACTACAGCATCTCTCTCTAAAGTTATATTTAGTTTTCATATAATGAATGAAGAGAGATTTATGAAATACGAATTATAAAAGGAATTTTTAGATATTTCAGATGAATTAAAATAATAAATGGAAATAGAGAAAAATGATTTGATTCATATTTAAATGGAGCTTTACCTTTTCTTAACCAAGACTTCTTTTGAGATGGCTCCAAATAATAGTAACGAAAGAGAAGACATTTTAAAAGGGTGTTTAAGTGGTGTAATTGGCTCTATAATGCAAATGAAACCTAATGCTGAATTACTTGAATCTTTGTTTAAAGGAGCTCTTCTAGCTTACAAAATGTATGCAGTTTCAAAAAATAGAAAATAATATGAAGTTTATTTTTAAATAGACATGTTGTAATGGGAGATCATTAATTATTTTAAAAATGAAAAAGAAAAAAATTTAGTAGAAATAATTGAAAAAATTCAGACAATCCATGAACAACTTGTGAAAAATTCAATTAATTGGAAGACTCATTTTTTGTGGATTTAAATGATTGGGAAAATTTTAATATATAATCCCATGTTAACTAAACAAAAATTATATCAGCTGACTAGTTAATTCAATTTAGGAGCCAGTTCAAGGTAAATGTGGAAGGAATATCAAAACAAAGGATTACTAATTTAAATGAACCATAGCAATGATTAAGCTGTCATCCTACTTAACTAACTTTAAAATAAAGAATTACTTTAACTTGATAGAGTTATATTAGAAGATTGTTTCAAAGAATGGGAAAACTTCTTATTACTTAAAGACTACTTTTTAAATGAAAAAAATCCAAATATCTATTTCACATTTTAATCATATTTACAAATCAAATTAAAAATAGGAAGCATTGAACCCTAAAAAGACGAAAATATTTTGATTGGAAAAATCTTGACATTTTTTGATTTCATTATTTCAAATAAATTACTAGGTTTAATTAAAGAAAATTATGAGAAATTAGGTGTCTCACTTAACTGAGAAGATGTAATAAAATATATCATGTCTAAATAAATTAGATGATTCAGAGCTTCAAATAATATTTACAAAATATTCAAAAAATCATTAAAATCATTAGGTTTAATTTATGGGGATAATATTTTTAGATCTAATAATTTAACTAGAAACAGATTATTCAATTCAATAATTTATAAAAACTTAAATATTTGATGAAAATGTTAGAAAAAATATTATAATTGTTAATTTAAGATTTTAAGAATAAGATAAATGAATAATAAAAAAATTAATCATCAAATCAAAAGGATGAAACAGATGAAAGGGAAGAGCTTTGGAGGTAGAAAGAATTTGTTTAAGATTAATTAAGTAAACTTGAGTTGGAAATTAAAATTTCGTAACTTGATGATTTGAAGAAGAAACTATTGGCTTTGCCAGATGCTACTCTAAACTAACCAAAATTTTAGGAAGCAGCTTAAATTCTGATACAATAATACAGGTTTCATCAAATTGTTTTACAGATAAGATTATTTCATTTTGTTAGAAAACTTTAATCTAATTATGGTTCGGAGAAAGATTTAAGAGTAAGAAATTATTAAAAAATGAGAAGTTAATTAATGTGTAAATGTAGATTTTGAAGGGTTTGGGTTTGGGTTTGGG